AAATTTATATAACCTGCGAGGCATTTGAAGAACCTTTCATACTAAACTTTTTTTTTTTTTATAAACTTTATCAAAAATTAATTCTTTTTAAAATCTTAGAGTCGATATGTTATTTAAACCTTTAATTTGCACACTTACGTTAGATAAAAATTAAAACAAAATAAAAATTTATAAAATCGCAAAAAAATAAAAAATAATCAAATACGATCAAATCATTTTTTATATATTCACTTTAATTTCGTAATAATAAGCATTTTCAAATTACCAAATACAATAGCTTTTTCATCATGATTTAGATCAGCTTCAGAAAGCGGTGATTGAAGTCAGTGGCTTAACCTGTCACAGATTATGGACGTGCTAGATGTTTAGCCAATGACGTAATCCGAAACTACTATCAAGATCTATAGGAGTGATGCGAACCGAACATTAAACAGATAATATAAATAATCCACAGATTATTTTAAACCATAGATTTAAGTTAACCTATAAATTTTATTCTTAAATTGCTATCATCATAAACATATTGTCCATACTCAACACCACCAATCATAATTTCTTTTGCAGCTTTTAAAGAAATATTATTAAAATCCTCTGCAATAAGCCTAATTGCAGTTTCTGGAACCAAAACTTGAGTCAAATATTGAGAGGATGATTGCGGAGCACAAATATTTGTGGTCAATATTCTGGTTTTAACAAACATTTTAGTTAAGGTTTTTTAAAACAACTGCTAAATTTTTAAAACCATAATAACCAGGCTAGAAAATATTGATATTAAGGTTAAATTAGTTAAATAGTTATGGTCTACTCGATTCTATTATCCTTTGGCAACTAGTATCTGTAGACATATATATAAATTCTCATTCTTTAATACTTTCAAAACAACGATTTTGCTATTGTAATAATAGTTGAAATAAGTTGCTTTTGTCTCATGAACTACGTTTTAAAATGGATAGGCAAGGTTTGATTAATACATGTAAAATTAATGTTAATAGGCTTAATCATAATATTTTGTCTGCGAGTAACTGAGTAAATTAAATAAATTACTAAATTTGGATAAACTTTTTATACGTGATGTTGCGCATATTATTTATTGTTATTGAATAAATATATAAAAAGAAATATTTGTACACGGGGTGTTTGTACACTAGGTAACACAAAAGTATTAGAAAAGCCAATCAAAATTTAAGATCAGGTGTAACATGTAAATCTTTTGTGTAACAAATAATTTTTTTAAAAAAATAAAAAAATACTAATATCTCAAAATTTCATCTAAGAAACCACTCTTGAGGCTCTAATAAAAAAAATTCCTCGCCAAATTTTGCATATACTAATGCCTAGATAAAATCTCAAGCCTCGCCCTAACCCTAAAGTAAATAAATTTTCTTTTTTTTTCTTATAACCCGTGTTTCAAACACCCCGTGTACAATTATAAATTTTCAAAAAAATAACATTGAGTAAAAAAAAAAACGAAATAAAGTTAAAAAACTATCCCTCTTTCACATGAATTTTTGCTCTTTTTTATTGACAACTAGTGCCGGTGAACGTGAATTGCTGTGTTTGTGTGTCGTAAGCAAAACTTCCGGAGCAAGTAACCTGAGATCTATCTTCACATGTAAAAGTTAAAGTTGTAGGGGCGGTGCATACGGCTCTTTTTTTGATTAAAGGGTTTTCTTGAAAATTGTTTACAGATTTCAATGGAGATGATAAACTGATAGCAACAAAAGCAGCCAAGAAAACGAAAAAGAACTATTGAGAGGAAAAATATAAATCAAAACTATTTTATTAAATAAATAAAAAAAAATATATGGTGTAAAATCAAAACCTTAAAAAAATCCAACTTGTTATATTGCGTCATATTGTTTCGTTTTATTAAAAAAAATATTCAGTGGTATTAGAGTTAGTTGCGTTCAGACTTTCAATTTATATAATTAAATTGATAATGACTTGTTTATATATATTTTTTATTTCAATGAGAATATTTGTTACATTAATGTTTCAATGTTATCAGTTAGTATTAGAGTTAGTTGCGTTCAGACTTTCAATTTATATAATTAAATTGATAATGATTTTTTATATACATTTTTTATTTCAATGAGAATGTTTGTTACATTAATATTTCAATGTTATCGGTTAGTATTAGCCATAAAACGAAGGCAAATACCAGAAAAGGTTTTTTTACTAAAAAATGTTAAAACTCCGTTGTATAGCGCCAAAGCGTCACTAGGCATATGGGCTAATTTCTGGAATTTCTAATAACTTTTGATTTGCTGGTCTATTTAAATACCAAAATATTTGTATCTGTGAGAGGATTCTAATGAGTCTAAAACTGTTAAAATCCAATCACAAGATCCCGAGATCGTTCAAATTTTGTGATTTTAATTAAGAGTTTTTAGAATTACGTACTACGTATGTAAGTATCTTTAATACTGATTTTCCGACGATCATGAAGAAAGAAAATAGTATAACACACTCACACATAATTAATTAATTAACTAACAGACCAAAAGCTATATACAAACATATACAGCTATAGGCTCTACGCTCCTGTAGAGCAATAATCTTGAAAGGAATTATACGGATCTTAAAATAAAATATATGGGGTGTCCCCAATTAAAACAGCCCATATCTCATTGAGTTTAATCATTTGTTTTGATTTTCGGAATGATCCGGATTAACCAAATTTCACGATTTTGATTGGTTAAAAGTAACAAGGCGACTATCGGGTAATCTCGTGATGTGCTTGGCTTCGTGTAATTTTTCTTCTACATTCTTCTACATTATCTCTACTTTTCATTATGCAAATCGACTTTCATTCATAATTGAAAAATGTCAATCATGTCAAAATATACATGAATTTAATAAAAACTCATTTTTTCTAAAAATGTAAATATGGGCTGTTTACCCCATATGACCTTAGATAATAAACACACAGAACTTGAAGTACAATATATAAACACCAAAGATAATAATACTAACTTAACGATAGAAATTGTCACCACCAAAAGGGAATTAGAAATCGTACGAGATAACAATACTAATCTTCAATCAAAGTTTATTAATATTGGAAAGAGATTACCAATGGAGGACATAAAGCAAAAAAAATATATACAGTTAGGGTTGTGGGCACGGGGCACGAGGCATGCCCCCTAGGCATGCCTGGAGGCATGCCCTTAGGCCAAAAGGCATGCCTCTTTCATGTAATTAATATTTAATTACGTAGTAATGTAACACGCTGATTAGCTACAGTATTGATACATAAATCTGAAATATTGATTAATAAGTAAACCTCGGTACATTTATATGTATTAGAAGCATACACCTAATGCATCGATTTGTACGTAAATGAATGTATTTATAAGACGATATTGTAGGAAATCAATAAATTTTATAAATTGGTTTATAATAAATAAATAAATATATTTGTTGTACGTATATTTCTTTAATAAAATAAATGTTTTTGTGGTTATTTTATAAGTAAAACTTATACTGAAATAACTACCAACGCAGCTTATCGACACAACATGGCCAACACTATACGTAGTTAAGGTTAGTGTTAGAATATGGCAAAATTAGGTATTTCATTAATTCATATGTACCAGGTATATCACATGATTTATATATAGAAGGCATGCCCTGAGCACGATATGAGGAGCATGCCTTTGGGCAAGGCATGCCCTTTCAGGCATGCCCAAAAATTTTTCCATGCCCACAACCCTACTCTACACATACTAAAACCATAACAACAGATAAAATCGGTTTCAAAAATTAAATTCGGTTTTATTTTATAATAAGATAAAGCATCGCACTAATGCAGTTTGCTTTGATAATTAGATAAATTGAAAGTAATTTTTGAGTAGAAACTTAATGTATTTATTTTATTTTATAAACACAAAATTAAGTATGATAATCATATTGGCGCATTAAGTATTTGGGGGGTGCTAGTAGAAACTAAGTATTTTGTTCCTAAGTAAATTTTTTTCAGACTTTAAATTAAAATATCTCAACAACTATTAAATAAAACTTAATGATATTTTAATTTAAAGTTTTAAAAAAACTTACTAAAAACAAAAATGCTTGGTTTCTACTGGCACCCCAATTTTATGAATTCTCAGACACAAAATTTTCGAGTTAAACATGTATAGAACAGCGCACTATACAACACATTATTAATCATTCAAAGTTAACTAAATATCGGTCGGTATCAATAATTTAAATTTTGAAAGGTTTTTTTTTTTCCGTTAATGCCGATTCGAAGAATGTGTATTAATGATGCCTGACGAAACTATTTTTGCAATGACAAAATAATTTCATCAATGACGTCGTATGACGAAACTTGACGATTGACGAAATTTACTGACGATTGACGAAACTCTTGACGAAATTAATTTGACTAATAAAATATAAAGCTTCTTATAATGACCTCTGAATATTTTGAATCATAAATTTTTTCAAAATTATTATTTCATCATGTAAAGATTCATCGGTTCATATGAAAAAATCAGCAATTTTTTAATTGACAACGAACTTTTTCTTCCATTCTATTAAATCGTCAGTTCGTTATAAAAAGTTAATACTACAAAATTAACAAGCACATACAAAATTAATTTTAGCTTTACATTACATTGAATCCAATAATTTTTTTATTATCGGTATATAGTAGTTCCTTTTATCAGGGGACGTTTAAAGCCTGGCACCTTACGAAATTACCTGATTTTTCCGTTTTTTTCCAATTTATTAGGGTTAGGGCTAGAGTGAAGTTAGAGAGTAGTTTACATATAGTAAAATCGCCTTTCCGACACTTTTACTTAGTCAACCAAGACCAGTTTGGATAGCCGTTTTTTATATATTTCGTGTTTTTGTCTTTGCCGTCTCGCTTTGTTTTGTTCGGACTGATCCGGGTTATATATCGGGTAATTTCGTAAGGTGCCAGGCTTTAAACGACCCCCTAATTTGTAATTCGTGTAACAGAGGATGACGCGCCCGTCCAATCAGAGATTTTTACATCTAAATAAATAGACCTCTTCAATTTTAAACATGATTTTAAATTCAGAATATTCCAATATACATTATTACTCTACAAGCAATGTAGAAACTTCAAGTAATAATTTTTTAAGCTTTTTTTAATGATGAATATATCTTATCTTGTGGTTAAGTTACAAAGAAAATATGAACTAGTTGTATTTCAAAATCGTTCACTAAGATTTAAGATTTTAAATATATTGGATTTCTCATCTATTAACTAAAGAACATTATGAATACTCCATCCATTAACTTAATAAATTGGATAGTTTGTTTCATTACTTATAGAACATTATATAATCGTTTACTAGGGGTCTAGAAACTATACAAGAGAAGCCTCAGAAATCGGAATGAGTCAGCCTACGATGCTAAACCTGGGCTCCACAAAAGAAGAATAAACTAAAGCAGTATCACTACAATGTGCAACAAGAAAAAGGTGAAATAACTCATCTTTACAGCTGAGCCTTGGTACCGCAAGGACGTTTTTTTGGTTATTCTGCTGCAATACTATGAGCAAAACCTACGAAAAAAGAGAAATTAATGAAAAGAAGAAAGCACGTGTCAAAGGATAGTTCAAAGGAGATTGTGAAAAATTGAAGAAAAAGAAAATATTAGTAAAGAAAAAGGAAATGAGTCCACAATAAACTTCTCTGAAATTCAGTATAAAAAGTCCTTTTTACC